TATTATGATTGCATAACATATGATTTTTTTTGTTAATGACATACCTACAAGATAGTTAATGGTCTACAAAATAATTATATATGTTGTTAATAATTATTAGATTAATAGGTTAAAATGTTTTTTATAAATCAGTTGGTATATTTAATTATATTTAATTTATTGATTTTGAGTACAATTTTTTTTTTGTTTTAGTATAGTAAACAAATTTCAGATTCTCCTTAAAGATAGTATATTGTTTGTTTATTAAGATATTAATAAGAAGTATTTGTGATTATATTTATTATAAAAACTAAATGATAAGATAATTAAATGTGATGATTTTCTAAAAAATGTCCAAAATAAAATATCACACATAAAAGAAGTCATAACTTCTGTTTTAATATATAAGATAAGAAACGAGTTAATGATAAGTTTATCAACCTTACATATCATGTTAAGGCTACATTATACTTTTGATTCAGGATACCTAAGAAAATAAACCATTGCCTAGTAACTAATATTGGCCTTAGTGTAGGTATTTTTTTAATATAACTAGTATAGGTATTTTGGACATTGGATGATTGCATTATTACATGTCAGTTTAACTCAACATATCCTGTTATTAAAATTACCATTTCAACTATACCTTTACATCCGGATGATTATAGATTAACTCAATGGGGTCAATGATATATATTCTTCAGTTACACCAAGTGATTTTTTTTTTTGCCATATTTCACTGCTTTTTTTGTCGGCCTGTTTAAAACTTAAAAATACATGCGTTATCGTTTTCAGTTACTAATAATATAGGCATTCCCCAGTCGGATAGTCCTATAATCGAATGCTTTTCATTTTTGATTTAAGATACAGAATGGTGAGTAAGGAACAAAAGGGAATGAAAAGATGTCTCTCGTTGTTGTCCAAAAAACAAAAAAAAGAAAAAAAAGAAAAGATGTCTCGTCAACATCTAAAATTTCTTAGCAACTTTTCTATAACTTATTTATGACCACAAAAAATACGTTGTCCCTGCCCAAATCATAGTGTCCCTGATCACTTCCACTTTCATCAAACAAAGAAAACAAAAGCCAAAAACTTTTGTTCTTTCACCTCCTTATTAGCACATGTATCCATTTACACTCTGTAAGGAGTTGAGAAATTTAAGTTGTAAGATATATATATATATATATGTATATAATATGCATATATATATATATATATATATGTATATTAAGAAAATCCTTCTAAAAATCTACTGTAATAGTTATTAGACCAATCCTTTAGAATTTATATGTTTTTTAAAGATTATAATTTATATGTTGGCATATTACATTGTGTGAGATTGTATTTTCAAACAAATATTTACTTACCAATAAAGATATAACTGTCTACTGAAAATTTAGTTCACCACCACATTATATATGAGACCCACTTTTAGTTAAATCCCACGTGAACTATAGGCAGTATATTGTTGATTCTACCTTCTGCATATATTATCGTCCACTGAAATTCTTTTACATTTCTACTAAACATTTTTTTTCTACTGAACATTATCTGCTCTTATACATGTCTACGTATCGTGTTTTTTTTTGCAAATATTTTTTTTTTAATCTGCTTAAATCTAGGGAAATTGAAAGTCTGTGAATGGATTCCTTTTTCAGAATATTTATATGAGTCCTAAAACATAGATCCATATCTGTATTGGTAAACAAGGGTGAACAAAAAAATTCATAAAGCACGAGGATTAAATCTAAAACATGTTAAGTATCTATGTATCGTATTTAACAAACATAAATATATAATTCTTAATATTATTTATGACAGGTATATCATGACATTAACAACATAATATTTTCATATTCATATGTTATTAATACTATTCATAGTATATGAAAATACATAATGTGTTCGTTTTCTCAACAAATCATTTTAAATTCAATAAACTCATTTTGATGTCTTTTATCTTTCTTGCAAGTAAAAATCTAACCACTTTGAGATTATACCTCCATAATTTATTTTTTAATCATATATTTTCAAACTTTAGTATCTTTAATAAATTTTAAAATTAAGGTAAAATATTTACATATCTTAATGGATTTCCGTTTAAAGTGTTTATAGGTTAATAAAAACTAAAATTACACATTTAGACTGCTTTTAGTTAATGCATTTAAAATTGATAATTCTACTAAGAGCCATGTGTAACTTTACTTAAAAGTTGTGAATATTCTCTACGAATCTGTTCACATAAACGTATTTAGTTAAATTTACGAAAACTTATAATAATAATACTTTTTCAGAAAAAAAAATTCAATTTTTGTTTAACAAATTTTAAAATAATCTTTTATTAAAAAAAAACATTAAAGTAGGTTCCTAAATGAGATTGGTTTAAGCTGGGCAGGTTTACCAGTTTAAACAATATTCCTAACAAAGTATTTGATGTTTTTATTAGAATTTTGTAACGTGATTTCGAAGTACGTGATATTTCGAAGTACGAATCAAAAGCCAGTATACATATTAAGAATGAATCTAACTAATACAGTTCAGAATTGTTTTGTTTTATAAATTATCAAAAATTATCTACTTTCTTTTGACATAAATTTTGTTATATATATATATATATATATATATATTTTTTTTTTTTGTTGTGTATAAAAAAATCAAAATAGATTTTGATTCACAGCTGTTTGACAAAAAAAAAAGAATTTGATTCACTGTTTTGTGTTGCCAGTTTATAACGGATGTGAAACATGTATTAACACGTTGAGATATAACTTTATATTGTCTAGAACATGATCAACTACAGATGTGGAACATGTATGAACACGTTGTGAAATATATATTAGTTAGAACATAATCAACATCTATGTTTTTCACTCGGTATTAATTGGATCAAGGAGTTCGTTATAGCCCACGAGTTCGATTCCACCTTTTCCAAACTCTACGCTTGAACCACTTGATCATTTAGACTTTGATCCCTGTGTTGATTAGCAGAAACGTTTTACCAGAGGATTATAAAGTTTAACTCGTGTGTGCTGCCACAAATTGTAGTAGACCAAAATCATAAACTCGCGCCTATGGCTTCGTGTTCAATTCTACCGTGATCAAACTCTATGCATGGACCACTTGGACACTAAGACTTCTGTCCCAATGCCTTAGCCGTGGTTGTTACTAAAGGATATGCTCAGCTCTGAGGTTAGTCGAACATTTCGGTAAAATCGGAATATCCAGAGCTAATTCAATTATTATTATTTTTAGTAAAATGAACTTGTTAATCCAATGTACATAAGTACACAAATGAGCACGTGATAGAACAGCTAAACACATGCTATTAACCTGAAATCTAGATTGTAAACCATGTGCACCAAATCGAAATTATTAAAAGAAGCCCCTTCCTTTTTAGTTATTTATCAAATCCATAAACTATGTTAATTATATAGTCTTCTTATTTGTTGGCATTACAAAAAAGAACAGGAAGCTATTTGCATGCAGGGAATATACAGAACATGCTCTCTGATCACTTCCATGCTTCCTTCTCTGTCTCCTTTCCTTTCTCTTCTTCCATGTGCCTTCACATGCTCTTTTCTCTCTCCTTTTAAAAACCGGTCCCGGTTCAGTTTTTCCCGGTTCTAGTACTTCAAAAGAACTTTTCTTTTTCCTGATTCAAATTATCATTTAAAAAAAACTGTCAATGAGGTTTTGCTGGCTCATAACACATTCACATGCAAACACCTCTCAACGAAGCACATTTTATTTTAATGCGCTTATTCTCTACTTTTTAAGTGACCAAATTGCCACTCATAAGATAATCATAAAATGCTATAATAATTGGTTTTAATAATGAAATTTTAGCAAGTTCAAAGTATATAATTAATCACGTTTAAAACTACGAAACTTGAAAAACGTTTTGGGATGGTGAAATATAGCAGTCACATATTCAAAATGTGAAAACATTGAAGTATAATTTGTTAATCCGTCACTAAAAAACCATAGATTTTTGTTTGCTCAATACAAAAAAATAGGGTCTCAACTCATTTTTCTTGAACACAGTAGTAGAACAATTTAGTTTTAGAATGCATAGTCAGAACGGAATAAAAAGATATCAAATTCAAAATATCATATATGTGCATTGTCTTATGATATGTCAACATGTGTAATACACAGATAAAGACATGAGTTATCACGGATGTTAAACAAAAGAGTAAAACAGAGATTATAAAGAACAAAGAGTCCAACCTCACAAAAAGGGTCCAACAAAGATATCAAATGAAAACACTTATATGGTCAAATGAAGCCGTCTGAATCATTTGATTATAAACAGATTAAACCGCCTTCGTACGTACAATTTAATTCTAAACATGTAAACAATAAGACTTGTGGATAACTATGGAAAGGGTGATATAGGAAAATGGAAAAATAATATTTGCCAAAAAACAATTATCATGTGCCATCGCAGAAGGCTCAGGCTTTTACTGTCATATCATATGGCAAATGTGCACTCGTCACCCACTTCCTCTCTTTGCTGCCTTAACTGGTTTCTCCCATCTTACTAGATTACAGGTTTACCCTTCGCTTCACATGTCAGTGTTGTCAGTATTCGTACAACTCAAACATTCAGCTGAATTTGGAAACTAATGATTTAGTGTTTTAGACTTGTTTGTTCCTCAAAGAAATATGAAACGATCCAAGAAAATATATAATTAAAAGAAGTTCTATAGTAAGCTAATAACGATTGTAACAACATCATTAGATTGAATATGAAGTTCTATATTGGTTGCAACTACTTAACGTAAGGTTATGCCCCTGAGAGATACTTGGCAAGAGCACGTGAGAGTAAGATATTATCGAGATCTTTTAAAAATTAATAAGGGCCCGACAAAAAAACAAAAGCACAAAACGACGAACGAAAGAATGAAAGCACTACTCGTGGCCCTATCGTAATAAACAGTAAGTCCAGGGGTATTAACAAGTGACAATCGTTTATAAACCTCGTTGTTGTTACTTCTCTTATTCAAAGAAAGAAATAAAGAAAGTCCAGTCTAACCAATCCTCTTTTCTACTTCGTTCACAATGAGAATCTTGAAGACTCAAAGATCCTCAAGAGGAGGAAGAAGAAACAGCAAGAAGTTCGGAAGCAGAAGATCACATGTTTCGTCACGAACCAGTATTCTCCGCAAGTGCTCTGGAAACAGCGGAGATAAGTTCTCGGCTAAGCTTCAGGCGCTTAAGAGTCTTCTTCCTCCGTCAGAGACGAACAAGACGGACCAGAATCGTGACGTGGAGGAGAAACTTAATAGTGGAGAGACAGAACAGCTGTTTCAAGAAACGGCGGATTACATCGTCAGGCTTAGGAACCAAGTCGTCGTGTTGCAAAAGCTAATCGAGATCTATGGATCATCGTCATCCTCTGATCAGACGGAAGACTTTATTTTATAATGTTACATATTTTTAAATTATGATTTTATTTTCTGAAACTTTAAACTTTTTATTCTATTTTTATGTATTACGTACTTTAAACCTATATGGTTTTAGGGTAGTTCATGTATAATGTTTTGATTTTCACGAAAGAAAAGTCGATCTGAACAATCTATAGAAATTTAAATGCAATGTTTGTTTGTTTGGTCGTTGTTGGCATGAGCTACCCGCGACACGTTATATAGTTTGATTTTTAATGTTACTACCACCGACTAGCAGGTAGCAACAAACAATCAAAGTATGTTTTGGCTAAACAATTCTGCGATTAACGAACACAATTTTTAAACGCTGAAACTTTGATGATATATCAAATTTCTTGATTTATTTTTGAGTCTCTCGGTTTAACCAAAAGTTGCATAAGGAACATGATTTAATCACTGATTACTAGCACCAACAAAACGAACATGGTTATGGCAAAAGTAATTATAAAAATGAGAAAAGTATAATAGTGCTAGATAATATGACAGAAACTGAAAATTACAAATGTTAAAAATTATATCACTGACATGTGTAAGGTGGGTGACATGAGAATTCGTATTTTCTTTTGTTAGAGACTTTTAGTGATTGATGTCCTATTAAGTTTTAATTTTTATATCATATTTCTAGCACGCCGTTCCTTTTCAAATCCTTAAATTTGATTTTTGTAAAGTCTTTCTTATAGAAAATAAAAACATAGAAGCGAAAAATAATAAGATATATTCCATAGAAGTTTTAAACTACGAAACTTAATATAATAATAAACAGGTTGAACAAAAAGAAAAAAACTACAGAACCAAAGATAGAAAGTGAACAAAGAAGTAAGAAGGGAGACAGATACGTAGATCACTCTATATCTGCTGTCTTTTGTCCCATTAGGATTTTACAATTTATGTTCAAAAAGGAAAAATACATATTTTGCTTTTGATCTTTGTATCTTGTTGATTGTTTGATTCGTTTTTCTAAGTTAGAAAGATAATAAATTTTGTTTACCCAATTCACTAATCCTTTTGTTAGTTCTGGGGAGACTCGTGCTCCTAATCCCTTATCAGATCGCTGGAAATAAATATTCGGTGTAGTTATGCTCTGCTGATTTCTCGATTTTCGTTACAGGTTTATAAAGTATGAGATATAGCGAATACAAGATGAATCAAGATCATCAAGTTTCTACGGCGAACTCTAACTCCACGCGATGAGGTAACCAAACTTCTTCTTCCTCGGTCTCTCTCCCCTCTCTGTTTCGTTTGTTATAACAGACTCTAAAAAATATTTATTTCTTGTTGAAGGTGTTATAAAGACGATGAAGTCTAACCACCGAGACTTTGACCCAATAATACATAAGCCGAATTTGAGCTGTAACTAACTCAAGAGAAAAAGTCTCAAGATAGTAAATAAAATGTCCAAACAACATTCTCCACCTTAGCTTTACTCTCTTTCTCTTCTCATTTGGACAAAACATCTGAAATCTTAATTTTGTCGAATTCTCTCGTCTCCTCTTTTCCTCCGCCTCAGTACTTTGCTTTTCTGGTGATTAAACACTGACAAAACTCTACCTTGAAGCTAACCTCAGATTCCTCTTCTCCTCTTCTATTTTCTGACCCTTGAAACATCCGATTGCAGCTTACTCCAAAAAACCAAAACTTCGATCTAATCTCTGACCCAACTGAAAAAATCCAGAAACGAAGACTACAACAGTTCTCAAACAAAAAAAACTGACCATCTTAAACCCTCGGAGACGACATGCAACCACCAGATCATTCTTGACTCAATGCAACTCTTCATATTACTCATCCTTCTGACTCTATCTCTTGTATTTTCGGTAGATCCATAGCATATAACTCAAAAAACCTGAACTTGCTTCATAACTTGACTTGAGACTATACTTCTTTTACCCTTTTGCGAGATGAAGTCTTTCTTCACCTCTTACTGCTGCAAGAAAACTCCATCTGCCAACATCGCAGCCATAGGCTATGGAGCCTACTCCAAATATTTAACGGAGACAAGACTCTCCTCCAGAATCTTTCCAGGTACACTTTTTGTCAAAATGTCTACTATATTTAGGCTTGTGTGAATCTTGACCACCGTTGTATCACCTGCTGCTATTAAATCTCTAATGGAACTGAACTTAGTATGAATGAGTTTTGTCCTTTCGTGAAAACCACCATTCTTAGCTAAGAAAATCGCAGACTCTGAATTTCAATTAATCTTGACTACTTGTTGATCATATCCCATGTCTTTGAATATCCATTTTAGCCATAATGCTTCTTTTGTTACTTCTGTCATAGCCATATATTCTGATTCTGTAGTATATAAGACCACTATAGGTCGGAGCCCCGATCTCCAACTGACACTTTTGCCACCAACTTGAAAAATATAGCCGGTTACTGACCTTCGTCTGTCGAGGTCTGTAGCATAATCTGCATAGCAGAAGCCCTCCACCTTAAATTCTGAACCTTTTGTGAAGTTTAAGCAGTTGTAGGCTCCTTTAATGTATCTCATGATCCATTTCAATGCTTCCCAATGTTCCCTTCTTGTATTACCCATAAACCTACTAACCAATCCCACTGTGTTGGATATATCTGGTATAGAACAAACCATAGCGTATATGAGACTCCCAAATGCACTCGCATAAAGGATGTCTCTCCTGCACTTAGCCTCAATCTTTGACTCCTTCTCGTCTAAGCTTTTGAGTTTTAAATGAAACCACATTGGAGTTGTGATAGACTTGCAATCTGTCATGCTGAAGGTTGAGAGTATTTTCTTTAAGTACTTTTCTTGAGACAACTTCTGAATTCCCTTTTCCCTCTCTCTCCAAAATTCTTGACGTGCAACCAAATCCTTCATTTCAAATTTCCGAATCAAACTCTTCTTGCACCTCTGAATACCCTTTGAATCCTTAGAAGCCACTAGCATGTCATCGACATAGATCAGTAGGTAGTTCCTCTCTGAACTCTGATATCTTGTATATTTGCATGATCTTAACCATCATTTTGTGTATATATTGATCATTTAGACTAGCATTTAGTTTGTATAGGTTGCATTAAAGTGCATCACAATTTGTGCGTTTCAGGTATGGAGAAGCTCAAGTTGAAGATTAAAGAGTTTAGGAAAGAGAAATGGCAAGCACCAAGCAAGATCTTACAAGCCACAAGATCAAGGAGCAATGTAGATGGGCAAGACCGACCGCGGGTAGATAGGCATGGACAATGTCAGGCCGCAAAATTCTTCCCAAGAGGCCAATGTGGAGTGATGAACCGCGGACGACGGCCGCGGGTGAAACCTGTCCGCGACTTCTTGCCCGAGAAGTTGAGATAGACGGACCATCCTTTGGGCGAGCAGCACGGGCAAAGGCAGTCTGCAGGCGAGCAGCGCAGACGATAGGCACGGCTTAAAGGAGTCCGCGGATTTCGACCAGTGCGCTCCCATCTTCTTGACGTTTCCTGCGGACGACTTCCATGGGCTAACTCTGTCTGCGGTCGGCACCGAGACCAACTTATCCATTTATTTTTTTTGGGGTCAAACCCGGATTTGTCGCGTCGACCCGGTTCGGATTTTAAGCTATTATAAATACATTCTAGACCTAATTTTAGGACATATCTTGTATTCTATCTAAAAAAATACCTCTTCTGGGAGAAATCTTGAATCTTATAGTAATTTCATCTTTCTTTTTGAGTTATTTGAGTCTACTTCATCTTCTTAACATGATTAGTCTTGAATATATCATGGGTTTAAGCTTAATCATGAAGATTAGTGAGTAGATCCACCTAGGTTTCATGGACTAGGTTGATTATGGTGATTAAGTGTAGATCACATGTGTTAGATCTAAGTTTTCCCTTGCTAGTTGAGTGATCTAAAAGCTAGATTATTGTTGGCCTCTGTAATCTAGATCATTAGTCATTTCTGCCCACAAGGTGTATGTTGAAATGTCTGAACCAATTTTCCTTAACTTTAAGACTTCTTAGCCAATGAACTTTGTATCTAGGAAGTCTTAGATAGTTATTAAACCTATTCTTAATGATTGCTTGAGTTATCTAGACCAATGACCTTTTTGTTTGATTAAGAAAAGTAAATGAGCATTTGTCTTGACCAAGAACTTGTTTTGTTAGGTTGTTTAGACTTAAGGTTGCATTTTGATTGATTACTTGCCACCTTTAGATTAAATCTTGATCACCTGAAATCAAATACCTAGTTCTATGGAACCTATTGTTACTTATTGAAAGAAAGCTTTTTTCCTTTATTGCATTTTAGTTTGTTTTTTAATCTTATCACTTCACTAAACTGGTTGCATTTAGCTTAATCATTAGCTTGTAACCTCTTTGCTTCAAAACAACTTAGGATTGGATTGACAATCTCAGATACTACTTTGATTTCACATAGGACTTAAAAACTCCTTATCAAATTTGGCGCCATTGCAAGTTCTAAGTTGATTTTGACATTGAGATTTAGTCATTGCTTGAGACTAAATCTTATTTTCTTTTATCTAGTAACTAAAACTCTTTCTTCCTCTACTTTCAATCTCAGGAGTATGAACTTAAGGAGAAAGTGCTCAACAAACCTAGTACCAAGAGTTGAAGACGTTAGAGCATTTGAAAGGGAGATAGTAAGAAGGAGACGGGAAGAAGAGCAACAAGCTCACTTAGACAGATTGGGGTTATTGATGAATCAACATCAGAATCAGCCTCAAGCTGGAGAGAGTGATGGTCAAGGAGCTGCAAAAACTTAGACCACAACACCCACAGTGCCAAGCAAGAGCTATTGGCACTCATGATCATCCAAATATACATGGGCATAGAGCTGGTATTAGAGAACCAGCAGTGGAGAATAACAACTTTGAAATCAAGTCAAGATTGATCAACATGATCCAGCAAAATAAGTATCACGGCCTTGCTCGGGAAGATCCACTAGACCACCTAGAAAACTTTGATAAGCTGTGTGGAACAACAAAGATAAATGGTGTTTCTGAAGATGAATTCAAGTTAAGGCTGTTTCCATTCTCTTTGGGAGACAAGGCTCACACATAGGAGAAAAGTCTTTTAAGATATTTAATCAATACATGGGATGAATGCAAGAAATCCTTCCTCACCAAGTTCTTCTCTACCTCAAGAATTGCTAAGCTGAGAAATGAGATTTCTGGTTTTCATCAAAAGAATCTTGAGGGTTTTGGAGAAGCA